TGTTTAATAGCAAAAACTCAAAAATATTGTGTGTTTTTTTTTGGTTTTTTTTTCTCAAAATTGTGGGTATTTTTTTTTTATAGAGCAAAAAATAAAAACGCACAGGCGATCAAATACCACCGAAAGAAAGCTCTATTCTTGGGGAAAAAAGGGCATATATCTCATTTGGGTGCAGCGTAATATTAAACTCCTGGGTTTTTTTTTCTTTTCTAATTTACTATTCTGAGGGTATGATTTGCATTGTCTTCAATTTCTTCTGCACTTTTTGTTTTTCTGTCCTCCCTTTCCACACTGTCTTGTGACCACTGGCCCAGATGTCTGTTGTGAGGGTGACTCCTTGACTTGCAGGGTCCTATGGAGCCCTGCTGGTGCTACCCTTGCATGTGCATGATGGCACTAGGAATGATTGGACATGTAGTTCCAGAGCAGGTTTTCAGGAGACACTGGAGGCTAATTTACTAAAACTGCAGCAGACAGAATCTGGATCAGCTGTGCATAGTAACCAAACCGCTTCTAACCTCAGCTTGTTCAGTTAAAGCAGAACTACACTGCATCTGAGAACCAAAAATACTTTTTTTTTTTTTTTTTTTTTTTTTTTTTTGTAGATCATAGGTTTAATTTATTAAAGGAAAGGTTAGTACATGCTAATGACATTTGGTGGATTAGAGAAAAAAATCCCTAAAAGAGTAAAGCACAGGCAGGGGCAGACTGACCATTTGGAAACTCGGGCACTGCCCCGAGGGCCCGGGGTCAGTAGGGGGCCCCACGAGGTGCCCCCGGCACCCCCCTCATAGGCCTTTCTGAGTTTGGGCAAGGACACAGGGGCCCCACGATCCCCCACCGCCCGGGGGCCCCACGAGCCGTCAGTCCGCCCCTGAGCACAAGTTAACATTAAGCAAGTTTGCTTACATTTGTATATCGAAAAAATATACTATATTTGAACCCATCAAATACACCAATCTGCACATTAAAACACCATGTACATTAGGACGTTTAGAGGCATATTTCAAGCTTAGCATTTAGAGGCAGAAAAACCAAAAATACTTTTAAATTCATTTTTAATATTCAAGCATATCCAGCCATGTGTCCATGTTTTATTTTGCTGATAAATCACTTTGAAAACCACCTCCTGGCATTTCTGGCTGTGGCCATCTTAAGTAAGGGCAGATGATTCATGTAGTATTTACTTCCTGGAATCCATCCATCCCTAGCTCAGGCATGCGGGCAGGAGAGTGTGCTTAGCTAAAACAACCCCTCCTGAGGACTCCTGGGATGTATGACATAATATGCCTAAGCAAGAAACTGGGAAGCAACTGAAGAAATGTGAAAAAAAAAAAGTTTAAAACAAGTAGATAGAAACTTTCTATTTACTAATGCTAGCAACATAAAGATTACAAATAGTCAGTGTTGATTGAGAAAGTGAAGTTCCTTCTTAAGCTTTGAAAATAAAAGCTGGAAGCTAATTTCGTCATCAGACCCTTCGGATCTGGTATGGATTTTGAGGGGAACTCCCATGCCAAAATTAAAAAAAAAAAAAAAAAATGGCGTGGGGTTCCCCCCATAATCCGTACCAGACCCTTATCCGAGCATGCTGCCCGGCAAGTCAGGAAAGGGGGGGGGGGGGAACGAGTGAGTGCCCCCCCCTTCCCTGAACCATACCAGGCCACATGCCTTCAACATGGGGAGGTGCTTTGGGGCGGGGGGGCCCCCGCAGTAGATCCAACGTCAATCACGACGTCCACCGCCGCCCTGAAAAAAGAATTTAAAAAAAGGTTCTGCTTCTGACGATGGCTCCCGCCATCTGCCTGCTCTGGTGGTTTGACAGTTCTTAAATGGGTAAGGGGTGGGGATACCCAGGGACATCACTGTGTCACATGGGGCGAAGGACTCGGGTGATGTCCCCAGGTGGCCCGCCCCTTACATATTTAAGAACTGTCAAACCACTGGAGCAGGCAGACGGAGGGAGCCATCGTCGGAAGTGGAGCTTTTTTTTTTTTTTTTTTTTAAATAGGTTCTTTTTTTGGGGCGGCGGACATCGTAATTGACGTTGGATCTACTGCAGGGGACTTTCTTTTAGTTTTTTTTTCTCTTAATAAAGGATTTGTCAAAGACCGTGTCCTGTCTTTTTTCACACTACACTTTTTGTTTTTTGTGAATGAGTAGCGGGACCATGTACCCCATACTCATTCTCACATGGGGGGCGGGATCTGGGGATTTTGTTAAAGGGGGCTTCCAGATTCTGATAAGCCCCCTGCCTGCAGACCCCCACAACCACCCGCCAGGGTTGTGGAGAAGAGGCCCTTGTCTCCATCAACCTGGGGACAAGGTGCTTTGGGGGGGGCGAGTCCCCTGCCCCAAAGCACCCCCCCATGTTGAGGGCATGTGGCCTGGTATGGTTCAGGAGGGGGGGGGGCGCTCACTCGTCACTCGTTCCCCCCCCCCCCCCCCCCCCCCCGCCTTCCCTTTGTTTGGAATGAGGATTGTACATTTGTTGCTGTCATGATGTCGAGCTGTATGAATACTACAAATCCTATAGTCCCTACTCCATATTCCATTTCTACAGCGAGCAAGAGCGGCTGGGACCATAGAGAATGAATGTATCCACCCGCAAGCAATAAGTCAGATCACAGCAGCAAAGAAAGTTACTTTAATGCCTAGGAGGCCACTTGGCTTCTCTATCATGTGACTTCTGTGATTGGCTCTCAGTGGGAAACAAAGCCCACACTTTCTGCTGCCACACACATGCGTTATGTAATCAGCAAGAGTTTAAGCCAGTCACAAGACGGTTAGGAAAAGTTATGTTGACTGTACCTAAATACTTGCAAGGTAACAGAAATTAGGTGAATATCCAAATTGAGTTGGGACATACTTGTCACAGAAGTTTTCTACCGCATATAAGCAGATTGGATACTGTAATCGTTAGAGATGAGTCTGTTTGGGCTTGTTTGTATGTTGTCTATCAAGTTATACCAGGTTTTCAAATCTTTATATCTGTGTTAGACGGATGGAAGCCCGCATAATGATACGTTTTGTGATTTTAAAAAAATATGTAAATTCTTAGTTACCCAATACATGGCATACAGTTACTGGCAGCATCTGCCCTTTGCTGGACTAAGTGGATAACCGTGTGGTGTGTGCGGACACTATTTTACCAGCCAGAACTAATTTACACATCAGTTGTTTCTGCAGCCTTTTTCTTCAATTCACCCAAAATATCTGTGGGGAATCGTACAGGATTTCTGAATTCTGTGCTTCTGCACACATCGGACAGATCTGCATAAAAAAAAAAAAAAAAATTCAAACAAAGATAAGTGATTAGGAAAACCGTACAGACTGTAACTAGGCCCCAGTGGGCATGGTGAAATGTGTTGAGCGTGTGGTTTGACAATGACATGTAGTGCTGGATGGGAGAGCAGCGATGCTTTTCACACAATACTGAATATACTTTCTGGATCAGCATATGGATATCAACACCCTGCTTTCTTGAGGATCTGGGGAAGATGATGTTCTCTTGCTTATGAGCGACACTACAAGTTTCTTTTGTTTTGATCATATTTCCTTCCCTGCTCAATTACTCTTCTTTCTTTCTACTGACTGCCTTTTTTTCTTTTTCATGTTTTTTATCTAGTTCCCTACCCTTTTTTTGGGCACTCTGGAAACTTTCATTCATTTTCCATTCTACTAGCCATGGAAGACCATACACATACCTCTCCAGAATACATGTGGATCTGTATGTTGATGTTTGGTCTAAAACCAATCTTCCTTCAGTAATTTTAGCAGATCCTGTCTTTGTGATCCTATAACTTATAAATCTGTGTGTACACCGGTTTCTGGATCTACCTTTTTTGTTTGGTCTCTGTTTTTAAAAAACCCTCAATAAACCCATTGAGCAAGGAATAATACTGTTATACACAAAATTACTTGTTCTGGAATGGGCTCATTTTTGCTAGTCTATATAGAAAGCATTTAACATGCTGTCTTCTTCATTGGCACCTTTTTGTATAATTTAGTTTTGGTGTTCTGAGGAAGAATTGTCATGGACATTCTGTATTACCCCAAAGCAACAAATTCTATTTTTTTTTATTTTTTTTTATTATTATACAAAAAGCACTGTTCTTAGAACTTATTGTAAAATGTCGCGTTTCATAGATTTTTAATGTGCATGGTAACAAAATGGCTAGTTCCTCCTGAGATAAAAAATGTCGTCATTTATAGGATGCTCAGTATAGCCTTGCCTATGAGAAAATAATATAGTGAACCTTTTTTATTGCTTTGCTGTCCTGGCTTTCTGCAATTAAAAATAAAACCAGACATACAAACCAGTTTTTCATTCGATACGCTGCAACATATGCTCAGTCTTTCCACAATTGCAGATCTGTGTTTTTTTTGTTTTTTAATACATAATGGTTTACTAATATATAAAAAAAAAAATCATCACTCCTCCAGTATTAGAAATCCACTCTGATTTATTTAAACTGGTAATCATCTTTAAAACCCAACTCCTGCCTAAAAAGAAACCCTACCTTGCATTGGGGCTGCACCTGTACTGCTGTACTGCAAGGGTTGGTCATTTCGGTCTGGGGCTAGAAAAGCAGCACTTTTAATTACCCAATCCTTTGTTCCCTTGGCAGTTGGGGCTCCCCACGCTTTGCCAGAGGATTGTCCCGTGTCCTCCCTTCCAGTGCAGGGCTATGGTCCCTGCTTCGGTCTCGATGAAGTCAGAGGACCTTAGACTGCCAGAGCAAAGGGAAGGAGAGGCTGCGTCGACCCGTCTAGCAGCACAGGGCAGCCTGCAGGAGCAAAGAATCAGGTAGGTAGGTAGTGCTTTACCATGTCGCCTAGACCTACACATTTAGGTAACTCTTGCAGTGTAAGTGCAGCTTCAATGCAAGAGAGGATTTTTAAGTTTACTTCAGCTTTAAAAATGTTTACATGTACTACTTATTACAGTGTACAATATATATTCTTTCTTTACTTCAGGGAAAACATCTACAAGCAACATGGTGCCCCCATCTCAGTATGTCCTCCCTAACGATCTGCCAGTTGCCTTGCTGGATTGTGAAGAGGCCTTCTCACTCCTTTCATCAGAGGAAAAGCTATATACCCATTTCCTGTCACGGGCATCATTTTATGGTGGTTTAATAGTTTTGTTCCAGACTTCACCTGAATCTCCAGCCATATATATTCTGCTGAACAGGATTTTCAGGGCACAGGTGCCTTCAGTACTGCATGGAGTGGCTCTCACCCAGGGACTAACTGAAGACGAATTCCAGGTATACTGATGTTGTGCACTGCCTGATTAAATGATCATTTTTGTGGCATGACTGTTTTCATATATCCCTCATATCTGCCCAGACATACCCATAAAGAAAATTAATTTAGGAACCGCCATAACCTCAAGCAATCCTTTTGCTACTCCATGTGTACATGTAATATTCTTGCAAGTCCTTCAATCTACTTGTCTCTGATAGGGAAGCGGTAAGCAAATTCTACATTGTATGGAAGATAAGGCTATCTGTAATTTATTATTAATTTTGTGTATGATCCATATATATATATTTTCTGATTGAAATATAATCCAGGTAGAGCAACTGTAGAGTGTAAGTAGATCTTTAAACTATAGCACTTGTAATATAATACGCAGTTATAGCTAAATCCAAAAAATGTTACGTACTGCTGCATACACATACTTAAATGTTGTGGCTTTGTTTTTTCTGGCTCCTTTTTTTTTTTTTTTTTTTTTTTTTTTTTTTCCGTTTTCATCTGGCAATAACACTGTTTGTTTGTTTTTTACCATAACGCTTTCTTTACATTCGGGTTAAAAAAAAACCTTTGTGCAGGATCAACAAAACTTTCTCTGTTTTCTCTGAGAAAAGCTTTTAGCCAGAAAAAGAAAATGTATGCAACCACTGCATCTAAAGACGGGTAAACTGCAATATATAAAACTTTTGTTCTTGGGTTTAGTAATAGGGAAGCTATAATGGTGTTTTTGTTTTTTTTTTTTTTTTTTTTTTTTTTTCTAGAAGTGCAAATATTATTATTTATTTTATGTTTTTTATTTTAAAATGCTTCCAAGGGTTGAAGGTTTTTTTTTTTTTTTTTTTTTTTTTAACTTCATGCATTCTATACATGAAGGTAAAAAACCTTCAGTGTGTAGCTCTCCCTCTCAGCACCCTCAATACTTAACCAAGCCTGATCCCAGGTCTAGCGCTGTGCATGAGAGCCTCGGCTCTCCCAGGTCTCTCTCTCTCTCTTCTCTTTAGCTGAGAAACAGCAGCCAGAGCCATTGGCTCCTGCTGCTGCCAATCTTTGCCATTGAGGAGGGAGCGGGATGTAGGATTGAGCCATGCTCTGTATGTCTTATGGACATACAGGGCCTTAAGAGGAGTGAGCACACACAAGTGCCCCCACAGCAAGCTGCTTGCTCTGAGGACATTCGGCAGGGGAGAGGGGCCAGGGGAATTGACAGGGGACCCTATAGGAGAAGCATCAGAGATGTTTTGTACAAAATCATTTGTATTTGATTAGCATGTTCGTTATTTTAAATTAAAAAAACAAACAAAGTTTTTACAACTACAGTTTTTTTATGTTTGACTTGACTTTTACATTTTTTTTTCCTGATTGTGTTCAATATTTTGTTTTGAGAATTATTATCTGGCTAAAAAAGGTAAGAGCTGAATACTCCCTAGTCAGGGCTTCCATTTCTAGGCCTTAAATATTTGTAAAGGCAGCTATTTGCTAAAGTGAGAAATAATGGTAAAAAGAAGCGCATGTAAGCCTTACTGGGAAAATGGTGGTGATGCAGCAGGAAAAACAAAGGATCCCACGGTCGCACATAATCCTTGAATTTCTGGGTTATTTGGCGCACTTCTGCCCAGTAAGCATGCAGGGTGTGACAGGACCATAAAACGTGAAGAAGGGAAAGTCTCCACAACGCCAGCAGGTGTTAGAGCATTGGGGGAACATCTTATGAATCCTAATGGGCATAAAATACCAGAGGGTCAACAGTTTGAAACCAGATTCTTGGTATCTGAAGCTGATAGAGCTTTTGTAAGTGAACATGAGAATTCTCTCCACGAAAACAGTAAGTCTATGAGGCCATGTAGCATGTTGGAGAGTTATCCAAACACAGAATTTCGAATGTGGTAAGGCGACGGCTGAAGGAGTCAGAGAAGGGTAAAGAGATAAGGAAATGAGCCAACTGAATCTCTTGCCATTAAGACAGTTCTGCAAAGGCTGGGTCTTACAGAATTCGCTGTCTTGGAACCCAACGTCCGGCCGAAATGAAATGTCAGGCCTGGAAAAGGCCACTGGTTTTATAGGCTTAGAATCTTCAGTTAAATAGGCCAGAACTGAAGGCAGGGTTCCCGACTCTGGGGGGTAATTGGAGAAAGGACTGGAGATATAGAGGAAGTCCAGAATACTTGGGAACACACGCCAAGTTTATCCCACAGTTGGATGAGTGGGGACTATATAGGTAGATCCGTATGGCACCAGGGCAGAAAGCACAGAGGTACCCCCAACAGGGCCTGTTCCACTTGTGCCCACTGCTTGAGAGGGCCATGGGGGCACCAATCCAGCACCCTAGTCAGATGGCAGGCCCCATGATAGAGGTTGATATTCGGCAGAGCCATTCCTCCCAGCAGTTTCGGCAATCGCAGTATTGCCTGAGTAAGTCGAATGGGCTTCTGTGCCCATAAAAAACTGATGCGAACCTGATTAGCTGCACGAAGGAAAGGATCAGGATTGCGGATCGGAAGGGCCTGTAGGGGACAAAGCATTTGTGGCATGACGTTCATGCTCAGCCCCTGAAACAGGATGATGAGCTGGTCTGCCAAGCTGAAAGATCCTTTTGATTTGACGTGAAAAGTGGAGGAACGTTTAGCACAAAAATGTCCCCCAGCCTTCTGTGAAGATATTTGTCCAAATATTTGATGTGAGATGAGGCCCATTTGAAAGTAAAGTCGGCCTTAAGAAAGGCAGTCAAGGACACCGGAATGGGGACATATACTGTGCTTTCTTATGTGTGACTGAAGTTTATTTACAATGATCATATGATCATTAATAACATTATACTGAATATGCTAAAGCAAGAATTAGCTGTAGTGGGTTTAGAGACAGCGTATACATGATGTGTCTATTTAGTATAGAAATTCGTTAAGTTCCCATTCGCACTATGGCTTTCTGGCACATTGCGTTAAGTTGTACTAAAGCTTAGTTTATTTCAGCAGAAACACCTCTGTATGGGTTAAAGAGCCCTAGGCAACACAAAAATCGCAGACTGCCGCTCCCCCCCCCCCCCCCCCCCCCCCCCCCCCCCCCAGTGGTACTGCCCCCTCAAAAATGACGCCCAAGGCAAATGCCTTGTTTGCGGAACGGTATATATGCCCCTGCTGTCCACCAAGTATAGACCCTCCCCTTCCTGGTCACTCTGTCCCCCTCCACCCAGGAACAATACAAGAAACTTGGTACAGACCAGCACAGACATGCACAGCGGTCTCTCTCTCTCCGTGTAAACAGCGGAGAAGAGGGAGGAGGCATTGGTGCGCTTGCTGGGAGCCAGCCGAGGACAGAGGTGGATCAGTGTCACTGGTAAGGTGTTAGCGCTGGTGCCCCTGCGGATGGGTGTCACCCTGGTTCGGTCTGCCCCCCCCCCCCCCATAGCAATGCCATGTTGAAAGCTGAAGTAACATTCTTCCACTGTGTGATGAGATACCTAAACTAACAGGTGGGAAGCCTCACTTTTGTCATTCGCTGCTAGTAATACAGAGTTGTCAGAGCTTACTGAGCTTCAAAGAGGGCAAATTGTTGGTGTCTGGTTAGGGCCGGCTCGGAAGTGAGCACGAACTAGTGCCCCCAGAGCAAGCAGCTTGCTCAGAGGGTGTTCGGCAGGGGGGAGTGATCAGGAGCACCGACGGGGGACCCAAGAAAAGTAAGATTAGGGCTACTCTGTGCAAAACCATTACACAGAGCAGGTAAGTATGAAATATTTGTAATTTTAATAAAAATACTCATCTTGGCATGAAATGCTACATGTGAAGTTAGCAGCAGGATTATACAAGTCCAGGGCCATGGTCAATTTCTATGGTCCCCAGACCCTGAAGACACCTTTTGGGGGTGGGGTGTTGAGCACCATGACAGGCAAAGCCTGGTCCTTAATAGGTCCAGTGTTATGGATAAGGCAAAACCGTTTTCATGTACGTATATTTTATATAATACTATTCACAGAGCATAGCACACTATGCAGTTTAGTGGGCAGAGGATGTGTGTGTTATTCACTTTATTGTGGCACTTTCTGCCATTGTTTTGTCTTTAACACTTCTCTGTGAGTAGTTTTAAAGTGTTTCTAAAGGTAATGTTTTTTTATTTTTGTAAAAAAAAAAAAAAAATGTTATCTGTACCTGCCCTGTGCAATTGCTTTTGCTCAGAGCAGCCCCAATCATCATTTTTCTCTGGCTCCTCTTCTTCGTCCAGTGCCCCCATATGCCCTATGTGGCACTCATGCAGGCTCGCTCCTGAGTCTTGCTGCTTACATCCATATACACACAGCAGGGCATGGCTCCGCCCCGTGCTCCTTCGTCACAGCGTTTGATTGACAGCAGCAGGAGTCAGGAGATACAGCCACAGGAACTCGCCAGTCAACACTTGGGTTATAGCAACTCCTTCCCTGGATACACAAAACTCTTTCCTAAATCATGAGGACACCACTGAGGATCCCCTTACTAGCAATATTGGATTACAGGTACAAGGGATTTGGGAATAAATGGCCACATGGCATGTGTTCTGCAGACAGCCTACAGGAAACACAGGACACGGTAGAGGGTGATAGCTATTCCCTTGTCCTGAAGTAGTGTCCCTTTGACACCGCTCCCTTCATCTGACTCTGGCTCCCTGTCAGGCATGCACCATGCTGCCTCTCTGACAAAAGCAGAATTCTCTGCCACTATGTCTTGATTTTTTTGGTTCTTCTAAGACATATGGTTTACAGAGGCCACAAGTACTGCACATCCTCTTTAACACTGACCGTGTTCAGGAATCAGATGTAGAACCTCCTGTACTTGAAGATATGGAGGAAAACGCTGATTTTTGTAATGGATGCAAAGGAGGATTTTCCTTCCCCTGAAGCTTGTGAGGTACAAGCTATGGCTTTGCATCAAATGCTTTCCATTGTGGACACACTTAACACCTGATTCTCCAGAACCTAAACAGACCTCAATGGGTAATAAGAGACTGGCTAAGTCTGAAAAGACTGTTCCCACACACACAGATTGGTTGTGCACTCTGAAATCTGTTATTGCTTCCCTCAGACAAGGGGAATTTCTTGCATCAATAGACATATAAGGTGCCTGTCTCTATTTTCCTATATAACCAATGCTTTCTACATTTTGATGAGGGAGACCAGCACTTCCAGTTTGTGGTGCTGTTGTTCAAGCTCTCCGCTGCATAAAAGTGTTTTTCCCTCTTCTGGCTTCATAGTCAACCTTCCAAAATCTGCCCTTTATCCCTTCACACTGTTTGGAGTACCTGGGTCTTATCTTGGAAAAGATTGCCTACTTAAGGCCCAACTCTCAGACAACTGTTTTCCTCCCTTTCCTATCGGAGCCCATAGCACTAAGGCTGTTGGTGTCTCTTTTGGCTTTTCAGCATCATGCATCTGTATCCCAGTCTTGCAAGGCCATCACCTGACTTTCCGTTCACATGTTTTGTCGGTGGATGTTCAGTTCAACCAAAAGGAAAAAAAAACTCCATATACACAATCCTATATTCACAGTTGATCTGGAGGAAGGTTAAAAAAACAAAACAAATCATGATCCAGTGAGGAAAAAATTCCTTCCTGATCCCCCGCGAGACAATTGGATATTCTGTGGATCAACTGCCACTGATATTATTACCAATAAATGGTAATATCCAGTTCCATTTTGTGCATTTAGGAATACATCCATATTTATACATGGTAATCATATCCCCCTTTTAAAGGCTAAGTTCACTTTTCTGAATGTATTACATGTTACACCCGAACTTAGGGTGTAACATGTTCAGCATGCACCCTCTCTCTCCCTGATCGCTTTTTCTCCTTGTGACAGCGGGTGGGGGATCTTCTTCCTGCACCCACTGTCACAATTTGAAAACGGTGGGGCTCTGTCCACTGCATGATTCATTCGTTTACTGTTTCCTGTAAATGAATAGACTACAAGTGCTGTCAGCCATAAACTGGGAGGGTCCTGGAGAGTGCTCTTGTGGTTGTTTGATCTTCCTTCTCTCAAATATGAGAGATGTGAGCAGACAGCGATCCTGAGAGTCTGCAGGAGCCTAGCATTGCACCTGCTGATTTGTGGGTGAAATGCTTTGCAGGCTTATTAGGAAAAAAAAACTAATAAATGCACCTTTTTTTTTTTACCTGTAAAAAAATGTGCATTTATTTATTTTTTTAAAGATGAACTTTTCCTATAATCACCTGAGCATAGAGCATAAATTCAGTTCACAAATTCATTCACTTACTGTATGAATTTATACATGGTGATCATATTACTACTTAATCACCTGTTCTCCGTAGAGAAAACATTCAGTTCAGCTAGTCTTTTCTCATAGCTGAGCTCCTCCACACCTTGTCAGTTTAGTTGTCCTGCTCTGCACTGTCTTCAGTTCCCGCAAGATCCTTTTTTGTGAGCAAGTGCCCAAAACTGAACTGCGTATTCCAGATGAAGTTTTACTAATGGTTCAAGCTGTTATCTGGGTAATTTTTGTTTGTGTTCTTTAAACCCTTGTGTTGTGTGCCTGTTGGCAAGTTCTCTTTGCTGTGTTGTTGCCCACCCCTCCGTTTAAAGGCTCCATGTACACTGGCTTAACCGCTGCTTCTACAGGAGAATTGTGTGGTTTTGTTTTTTTTTTGTTTGTTTTTTTTTTTTGCCTGTAGAAGCAGAGCCGTATTAGTCTGTGTCCATGCACATTAGGACTAATCGAGGCATAGTTTAAGCTCAGTGTTTATAGCCAGGAAAAAACCCTTCTGGTTTGCATTTTTGATTGGAGCTTTCCGTCAGAAAAAACCCTAAACTCTGTACAAAAACACTATGGGGTTTATTTACTAAAGCTGGAGAGTCCAAAATCAGACTCCCTTCTGCATAGAAACCAATCGCTTCTAACCTCAGCTTGTTCAATGAAGCTTTGGCAATGAAACCTGGAAGCTGATTGGTTTCTATGCAGAAGGAGTCTGATTTTGGACTCTCCAGCTTGGTTTTTGAAGGTTTTTTTTTTTCTATAGCCAGTAAACTCCTCAGCATGTTATCCTATGTGCCCATGCACACAGACTGTAATCAACCTTTGAACAATGTCTAAATATCATGTAAGCGAGTGTTCATGCCTATGTTTGTCATCAGTGAAAGAAAGGATGTCACCAGCCCTCCATTGCAAGCATATACACTGGTTTTATTTATTTCTATTAATGCAATGTCGCATCAGTCAAGCGAACGCTTTGGGACCATGCAGGGTCTCTCCCACAAGGTGATTTAATGACGTAGATCAGCTAGTACTTTCTGTGTACTGGAGATAAGACCAGGCCATAGTTCACAACCTAGGCCTCCCCTTGCAGAATGCACTGAACAGTGATGTGCACATCAAATAAGAAAAAAAATTGTTGGTGTTGTTGCACTGGGTTCATTATCATCAGAAGTCATTGATTAATGTGTGTGTGTTGACGCGTTTGGTTTTTTTTTTTGTTTTTTTTTTTTTTTTTTTTTTTTTTAATTGATTTGAATGGCAAACTGCAAGTCAGTATGCTCTAAATAACCATATCATGCATTGGTAATAAGACTATTGAAAAAAGTGGCTTTTCAGTTGAAACAAGCTCACCGAGACAAAGGACTACAAATCATTTTGTCTGAGTAAGGTATCGGTTGAGATAATGAGGAGAATAAGCAATGATCATGGGAGTTATAAAAAATTTCTGAAAGTGACCGGTGTCTTACTATAGCTTCTGACTTTCCAATATCAAACAACCTAGAAGATGAGAAAAGATGTTTATGCTTACAGTAGAAAATGCTAGAAGATGTCAAATTGGCAAGAAAATGTAATGACTTCATCAGCCAGATTACCTCTATGCACTATGAATTTTGTTTGCAGAACGTAGAAAGGTCATATTTCTATGTAGACACACCTGAATTATTTAGCAGAGGGCTTAGAGTTCTTTATGATGTGATATACATAATTGTACATAGTGTATGTCCTGTATTCATTTTTACCATTAATTCCACAGGCTCTCTTGGTATATGCTGCTGGATTCTTTGCAAACATGGGAAACTACAAGTCCTTTGGGGATACGAAGTTTGTCCCAATGTCTCCAAAGTAAGTTCTTGTTTCAGTAATGACAATCACAAGTTTTCCACAGACCATGAAAAAAAAACATATTTTTTAATTTATAATTATAATTATTCTTTGCCCTCAGGAGAGATTGAGAAGTTACTACGGGCAAGTGATGCGTTTGCTAAGGATCCAGAAGGAATGGAAAGACTTTGGAAAATTGTTGCAGAACATATGTACTCCCTAGAACCACGTGAGAGGCAGCTAGGACTGGGAGACCAGGTCAGTACCAGGATAAAGCACAGCAATCTAGTGTGGCATTTTATTCTGTTTTTTGTTAAAATGCTTTTCTTGGGATGGAAGATATTTTGGGAGCCGGCTCATGGATATATATGTGTTTCAATGCTTGGGGAGGTACTTGCATAATTTTCCTTGTGACATGCTAGGTAACTATGCCAGATATGTTGTAGAGATGGTGTTTGGCCCTTCAACATGGGTCGATAAGTCTTCCAATAACATTTTACAGCCATTAGCAAGGTGTGGGCTATCTCCCCTTTATGGCTCCTTGTGCACTGACTGCTTCGGTGTGTAGGCACATGTAAAATGTAGTTCACTACAGTTTATTGTTCATATAATTTTGACATTGGTGGTTGATAAAATATTACCTTTTAGCCCCTAGGTTGAAAATGTCTGGGCAGGTTTTGTTAATCTAGGAGAGGAGTCCCATTTCTAGGTTTAGACTAAAAATGTTAAAAATTACTTTTGGTGGATTTCCTGAAAGTGTGGGATCAGGGCTAAGCCATATTATTGTGGCACATTAAGGTATTCATTTTAAATGTACTTTCAACATAATGTACCTAAAAACAAACCTGCACCTTTTCTTTCAACACAGTGCAGCTATGCATTGTAGTGTGCTGTAAGGTATAAGTGCCTGCATAAACAAGAGACCTCACAGTAGAGTAAAATCCTTTGGACTCCTAGATTGAATACATATAAAACTATTTACAAACAGAGCTGTAATGAAGAATGCAATATTAAAAACCTCTGTTTACCCCGCCACGCCCATTGCATTTTGTAAGGAAAGAAATTTGCAGGATTCCCCCATTAACACAGACAGTGATCACATTGGTATCCCTCCTGCTGGGTTATTGTCTTCTCCCTTGCTTGGGGGGGATAGAGCCATCCCTGCCAGGAAAAGACAGTGATTGCTAGCGGTCATGGCAGCCGCTAGCGATAATCAGAAGTGAATCCAGCAGGTTAGTTGTACCCAAGTTAGGCCAGCCATAGACAGTTTGAATCGCAGCTGGTTCAGCAGCAACCGGCCAAGATTCAAACCATGTGTGGGCAGGCTGAATGTACCAAGTTGACCAATTTGCACCGTCTATGGCCTGCCTTATTCTTAAAAAGGCACATCTTTTTGTATCTGAAACCTAAACATTTTTGAAAAGTCTCAAAGGGAAACTGTGACGGACCGCCTGTCGCCCCAATTGGTTGATTCTGTCAGAGAACTGCTTCCTTGCTACTGGGACACAGAACCGAAATATTATAGCTGGGCATCGCACCCAAGGACTGGACTACACTAGCTTAGGTGTAAAAACTGAAACAACTTTATTGAACAGAAATGCAGGTTTTTATACACTTCAGGAATAGGGCAGTCCCCACATGAACAATAAAAACAAATATTATACATTGGGGTAAACATCCCACACTGATTAGGTAAGAGAAACACTGATGAGTTTTAAATGGGGTAGCTTGCTTACTTTGGTTAGCGTTCCCCTCACTTGGAGGTTCTTGAAAAGGGGGCTTTTCTCAGCCACAAAACATTGGGTTTCTTTCATCCTTCATCCTTTTTTTTTTTTTTTTTTTTTTTTTTTTTTTTTTTTTTCACCGGGGTCTGGCTCTATTTTTCCCCATTTGCTCCTTTCCCATTGTACCAATTTTTTGCATGTGGTTACACCATAAGCTGATGTATGATTGAGTTGTGCACACTTTTATATACTGTACACACGTATTATATTTTTCTGAATATAAACTGGCATAGATGTTGCAGCACATATTTTTGTTGTATAAAGTCTCATGTAACTTGACATACTAGCATATTTGTTCTTATTGTTTGGTCTATAGTGCTTCTTGAATACATTTCTATTGGAAAAGCATTCTTTTGAAGTTTGTGCACTTACCATCCATAACAGTACACCCTTCCCTCTGATATGAGAAAGAGGAGTCCTAGGGTGTCAATGCTGCTTCTCTATAGAGCAAGCATTGTCCTTATAAGACAGGTGTGTTACCGGCATGATCACTTGGTGAAAATAAAGGAAAAGCCAGAAATAAATCAAATATAGCCACCACCGCCTAAGGACTGGTAAACTGCAATATCTTACATTCTAAGTTTTTGATCATCAAATCAGACCATGTTTTTGTATTTGTATTCATTGAGGGAAAAACAGTGTTGTGTGAATGGCTCCTATGTGGAGTGAGTGACCGACTATGGGTACTACGCAGCAGGGCAACCATTTTGGCACTGAACACAGAAGACAGTTTTCAGCTTCCACGGGGATCTGTATAAAATGTGCATACTTACATTGGTTTAAGCTGGATGTACCTGTACAATAAAATCTATACCTGGATTTCAACTTTAAGTGGTCTTCCAGAACAGCCCTGAGACGTAGAGCTCCTCCCACTGGGATAGAAAACCCGTTACCCACAAGCTTTAAAAGGCGGTCCTCATTTTTTAGTTTAGTGTTTCCTCCAAATGCGAGTGACATGTTACCCATGGAACCCATTTAGAAACCCTAGTCTCAGTGCTGTAATGTGCTTTTTTTGTGTCTATCTTTTTTCCATGTGCCCATCCACAAAGCCCAGTCTTTACAGGCAGGTGGTAGCTGTGGGTCCTCTATTGTCCGTGCCTAGGGCCAGTACCTGTGATGCGGCTCCCCCTTGCTAGCCGCTCCTCCTGTGGGTTAGCTGACACTGCTAATGGATTGGTTTCCTTGTTGAAGACTGGAGCTCTGGCAGTCCAATCTTGCTAATCAAAAGATGCAGAGGCATTCTTTTTTTCTTGGGGGGGGGGGGGGGGGGGGGGGGTTTGACTTCATCACAGGGTGCTGGAGGCGGTGGTTCCTAGCTTCATTTACCGGCGCAAACAGCAGAAATTAGGACGGCTGGTGCTCTGGTATAAGTGGTTCCCAGCAGAGGCTGTGGTGCGCTATTCCTCATGCAGCTAGGATCCCTCTGCACTCAAAAGCTCGGCGCATGCGGGCTCCTTTGGCACCAGCTCCTCACCGGTAACCCTGAGGTTGTTTATTTACCTGCTCCGTATACTTGTGGTGGCTTTGGTTTTTTTATGTGTCGTCTGGGGCTCCTTGGTTTTGGGCTCAGGCTGGTGGTGTACCTTCACCTGCTTGCCTTTTGGCACTGCATGGCTTGCTGTGGCTGGTCTAATGGCAGTTCTGCCATTTATGTCTTTTAGGTTAAGGTTCAGGATAAGGGTCCAGGTTCTTCCCCCAAGAAGAAATGTGCAGTTTGTGCAACTAAGTTAGGATCTTCTTGGAGCAAGATGTTATGCCATGCTTGTATATATGTTAAATAGAATGGTGCAGCGCTAAATAATAGAGCACAGTTTATACACACAATATATGTACATTCGTGATATCACTCTGAGGGTGATCCATAAATACAAAAGTTCAATATAATAGTGCGGATCATGGATGTGCACTCACCAGATGTGCGTTTTAATATACATCTGGTGAGTGCGTTTTTCACCTATTTGTGTGGTTCACACCTATCATCACACCTTGGATCAGGACGTCCACTCACCTGGAATTAGGATCTCTCCATGGTCCGCACTATTATATTGAACTTTTGTATTTATGGATCACCCTCAGAGTGATATCGCGCATGTACATATATTGTGTGTATAAACTGTGCTCTATTATTTAGCGCTGCACCATTCTATTTAACATATATGTTCGATTGGAGGTTTTTTATTTGGTTACCTTTTCGGTGTATCAGTGGCTCAGTAACGTTTTTGTGTATACACATTTATACACTTTTGCATTTAAGTCGCGCTCACTATAACATCTTTTATTACAACTCTGTTATGCCATGCTTGTATTGGCAATCTAGTTAAGGATTGATTATCTGCGGCCTGTAGTAAGCTTCTGTTGTCAGTAAAGGATGCGATGGCTACTACCTTCACTCCTTCAGATCCCTACTGAAGGTCTTAGGCAGGCTCCTCCCAGTCAGCCTCAGAGGTCTAGACCCTCCATAGGTACTTATGCTGCCTCAGAAATTTTGCACAGTGAAGCAGCTGAAAAGGCATGTAACACTGTCTTCCTCTCATCCATATTCAGGCAGTGAGGTGGATTCCAGAGATGAGAATGAGCCAGCTAAACCAGCTTGATACAAATTGTCCCTTGAGGACATGGATGATCTACTCAAGGGTATACATAAAACCTTGGCGATAGAGAAGAAGAAAATACAGTTGTTTAGGAATGACCTGATGTATCAGAGTCTGCATACAAAGAAATCCAGGGTTTTTCCAGGCCATAATACTTTGTCTGACACCATTCAGCTGGAATAGTCGGAACTAGAGAAGACTTTTTTTCTAATGGTTTAAAATAAAGATTTCCATTCCATGAGGATCCTGTACATACTTGGAACAAGTGTCCTAAGCTGGATGCACCACTGTCCAAGGTTTCCAAGAAAACACGATTCGGCTTTTGAAGATTTGGGGATCCATAGGAGGGGTGTTGTCATCCTTTGCAGGGTCTGGGACTCTTGCATCTCAAATCTCAAGCCTGTATTAGCTTCTGTTTGTGTGGCTAAGAACCTAGAATTCTGATTTACTCAGTTGCAATCACATTTGGTAGCTGGTACTCCTGGAGACCAGATCTTGAATTTGTTTTTACTTTTTAAGGTGGTGGGGTTTTTAACTGATGCTTCAGCTGACTCCATTTAAAATGCTGGCCAGATCCTCAGCCTTGATGAATTCAGACCTGGTCAGGGAATTCAGCCTTCAAATTGCGGCTATGTGGCCTTCTCTTCTCAGGGGATCAGCTCTTTGGGCCTGATCTTCTGGTGGCGTTGGAAAACACTACTTACAAGAAAACATAGTCTCCTGAGAAGCAGAGTAGGGCGAGAAATGTTTTCATAGACAAAGGTTTCAGAGTCCGCAGGAGAAGGAAGTAAAACGTAAGAAGCATTGGACAAGTCATATGTGCAAGAGAAAAGTGCAGTATCCTGTTCAACCCTCCTCAGCAGCTAGCCAATTCCCAGTTACT